TTTTTCTCTGAGATATGTGAAAATCAAGGCACTTGACTTATTCTTGGCAGACTTGTGCCTTTTTTTTTCCTTTTAAACCATGTAGCCGCCTCCCACAGGAAAGTAAAGAGCAATTGTATTAATTCCTAATAATCTTCCTGCACTCATCTGTTCAGCCATGTTGGTCTGCTGGAAAAGCTTCTGAATGAGAAGCTAACTCAGAGCCAAAATGGTTCAAAATTTTTTGAGTCCTTGAGGCAATCTAGTCCATGTTAACTGGCCTGTCACCATTTTTAGGATTCTTCGGGAAGGTGAAGATTGGTTGGCTCTGAGGGGTTGGGAGGATACAGAAAAAGATACATACATACATACATACATACATACATACATACATACATACATAAATTTAAAACACTTGTGTACACTAGTGTTTTGCCTGCATATCTGTGTGAGAGTTAAATCCACTGGAACCTGAGTTACAGACAGTTGTAAGCTGCCATGTGAGTGCTGGGAATTGAACCCTGGTTCTCTGGAAGAGCAGGTAATGCTCTTAGCCATCGCTCCAGTCCTGAGAATGGCAATCTTAAGGTCCAGACATGTGATGAGACCCAGGACAGGGTACAGACAACTGGGTGTAGCGTAGCAGGTGGCCTTGTTTACTGCTTATATGTCCTGACCTGGCCAACAATCAGCTGTTTCTGTTTATAGCCAGGCAGGAGAGTTGTGTTCCAGGATGACTGGCAGTCAAAGAAGTCATGATTACAGCAAAATTCCTAAGGCTCAAACAAGCTTGGCGTTTCAGAAAAGAACCAATTCTGTTAGAATATAGTACACGAGGGAAACCTTGCTTCTCTGTAGCATGTGTAATAAATAATCTATTAGACTTGCACAGCTGTTGAAAAGAAAAGCATCTGGTAATGTGTGCAGGTTCACTGTGTGACGTGAAAGGGCGAGCAGGTAATTCTAGAGGAGGCAGGAGCAGTATGATGCTGGTTGGAATGACCCCCAAACCCTACTTCTCTTTGGAAGTGTGTCTGGAACACCAGACTTGGCACTTACAGACCACATGTGTAAGGCCAATAAGAGTCCTGATTCCTAAGCAGGTTCCTGCTCACAAAGTACTCTTGGCCCCAAACCAAGGCAGGGTTAGGGTTTATAAAGTCAAAAACCACAATTAACATCGTACCAGAGGCAGGGGCGGGGTGTCAAAATTTTAAAAGGTTTCAGGTCAACTGATTAAAAGCAATTTGTTTTATGTTGTAAAAGAACAGATCTCTACCTCTGGAAGCTACAGATGTGGCAGCAAGAGAGTTGTCTGCACAGAGAATGTGCTTGGCAAGGGGTTGGGGAGTGGTTGGGTGAGCTAAAACTAGGACAAAATGGAGTTACTTTGGGCAGGACAATATAAGATGCTGAAGTGTTTGAATGTGAGAGATGCACATCCTCCCTCACACTTCCCTAGTTACACTTAATAACAATACAAAGTAATTGCTATCAATTGTTGCTATGCTGTATCGTATAAGGGGAAAGTATACATATGTCCACTACAAATGAAAAGTCTATTATTTATTTATTTGATGGTTTATTTTTGAGACCCTGTCTCACTGCAGCCCGGCTCCTCTCTGGGGGCTCCCTGCAAGTTGGGCAGGGAGCAGGAGGGTTGCAGTTTTCAAGAGCCATACGGAGCTGGACCCTTTATTAATGCAGCTGTGTGAGTCATCCATGCGCCTCTAACTAACCCAGCCTTGAACTCAGAGAGCTCTCCCTGCCTAGGCTCTAACTCCCAAATGCTGGGATTAAAGGCAGGAGCCACCATGCCTGTCTCAGAAGAAATGTTTAAAGAATATTTTTGAACTGTGGTTAATTGATTCTTCAAATGGAAAAGCCTGGTGGTACCAAGAGCCAATAGTATCTCAAAATACAGAGAGAAAGAAGTGAATCCTGTGGTATCCTTGAGTTGCTAGAGCCTCTCTTGTCTGAAACAATCCTATTCTGGACCCCTTAGCCAAAAGATATGGTTCCTCTTGTGAGAAAGATACAGACAACCACACTGATTAAGCTGATTAAAAGTATATGAGTCCTTTATTAGCCAGCAACCAAAATAGGCCCGTGCCTCAAAGTTTCTTGTTGCCAAAGCTCAGGAGTACAGTGCTTTTAAAAACAAACTTCACAAAGACTGTAATTTCCATGGAGTTAAGTAAGGGTCAGAGTAACCTTGAAACATTCCTTTCTGGCAGATCATAGTAACTATTTTAGATATAACATAGTAACTATTTTTGATATAACATGACCCTTACTTATGACTTGTACCTTTTTCAGTCCTTTTAGTTTAAGTTTGTATAAACATTATTTTGGTTAATGCATCTGGACCATGGTCTATCTCTTAGAAATCCCAATTGCATTGCAAAGGTAGGTGTGACTATTCAGGGTGTAGAGGGCTGAGAATTGTTTGAGAAAACACCACATGGGTCAGAAAAAGATGGTGCTGCCTTTGCTGATTCACTCTCACCATTGAGATGTTTAAATCTGCAGTGTTACCCATGCTCTAGGTTGGAAGTGTCTTGATAAGGCTGTACCTACAGTGATTCTTTCAGGTAGGTGGTGGTGTGTCACATGACTTTCCAGAGACACCGTTCACCACAAATAAGAAGGGCACAGGCAGACTGAAGAAGAAAAAAATGTCAAGTTCCACTTGGCAAAATAAATGAGTTTGATTAATAAGATTTAATTATAGAGCCATGAAAAAGCCCCACGCCCTTAAGCTCCGATTTTATCTAGTACTGTCTACAGACACGCAGACATGCAGACACACGGACACACACAGATGTGCTTCACTATATCTCATGTATGTGCTGCTAGGAATTGGACCCAGGACTTAGACATTAGGCAGTGCATTTTGTCTACTGAGGTGACAGTCCTAACCTACAGCAGTATTAATGCAAACCTAAGCTCGGATGGCTACCTGGTGCTAACGCAGCAGATGTGACTACAGGCTCAGCAAACGTGAGGCAGACAAACCAGACTCTGGGAAAGAGATATGCTGTGTGTATCACTCCATCTCAGCTCATACCAGCGTCCTGCTGGGCTCAGCAAACACTGTCCCAGGAAAGATGGTCGGTCTTTCCTGCTGCAGGCTGGCACAGGGACACTAAATGACATCTTGCTGAAAGACAGTCACCCTGGCCAGGAATTCGAGGATTACCAACACTGTAAGGGAGTCACCCAGACAATTTGCAACTGTTCCACTTCTTTTTGTTCTACCCTTTTTGAAGCTCAGGGTGACTATGCTGCTTTACCCGGCCAGCAAAGCACAGCTGCAGTGGCACGTTTTGTGGATTGTGCTGTGTGTCTTTTCCTGGAGAGACATGGCAGACCAAAGAAAATATTTCACCCACAAGGCAAGCTTGGTGAACCGATAAGTTTACTCAGATTGCCAACACACTCAAGGGTGAGGGGTTAGTTAGAGGCGCATGGATGACTCACAGCTGCATTAATAAAGGGTCCAGCTCTGTATGGCTCTTGAAAACTGCAACCCTCCTGCTCCCTGCCCAACTTGCAGGGAGCCCCAGAGAGGAGCCGCCTCTCCCCGGCTCTTGTTTATAGCCTTGAAAACCTCGTGAAATAAGAAGATCCTGGACTGTGACAAGCTCTCTAGCTCCAGGTGGGCTTACCTCAGGAGTCAGGGTTCAAGAAGCAGTAGTCACAGAGCTTTTACTGAGTCAGTGTGGCACTAGATTCTTGCCTCAGGAATTTTAAGAGTGAATTTCATAGATGACAGGGTGGGTGAGTTTCTTTTAAAGATGTTTATCTTGAACATAAGAAGGTTTTGTCTGAATGTGTGTATGGGTACCACACACATGCCTGGTGCCTGAGGGGGCCAGAAGAGGGTGTTGAATCTCCAGAAACTGGAGTTACAGACTAGTGTGAGCCACTGCCTGGGAGCCCTGTGACATTTCTCTCTTCCATGTTAGCATGTCTGTCAGTGGTTCCTTGTTCTGGTCTGTTTTAGGCAGCAATATTATGGATGTGTTATGTGTGAAGCTTTCCTATCATCTCAGGAAAACATAATCTCACAACAGATTGCCTGGTTCTCTGGCTAGTCTCATTGTCCATAAACCCCATGTAACTTGTTTGGCCTTCTGGGACATGAGCTTTCTAGCTTTGTCTTTATCTTTCTTATTTTGGAAACATCCAGCCCTCTCCTCAACTGCCCCCTTCCCCCATCTCAATGTGTCTGGATGTTTTGTCTACATGTATGTCTGTGCACCGTGCATGCAGTGCCCAAGGAGGGCAGCAGAGCGCGCTGTATGTATCATCTGGGATCGGAGTTAGAGAGGGTTGTGAGCAGCCAACAGCCTACTGGGAATCCTGACCAGGAAGGACCAAGTCTTAACATACAGAGCTCTTTCTTTACCAAAAATACCTTCGTGTCTGCATCCTTTGAAATATTTTTTTTCTACCTACTAATTCCTTTTTCAATAGCATGAGGCAATTAACAAATTTATAGACATATCTTAAGATTCACTGTTGAGTCCAGTGATGTTAGGCTGGACACAGAACATCTGTTTTAGAACTTTTATAGATTTTGAAGACTTACCCTCTGATATCTTTAAATTTTATAAGGTTATGGTTGCAAACAGTCAGCATCTATGACCAATGAGGATCACACACAACAGGTGTATCTGCCTTTACCTTGAATATTTGGGAATGGCAAGCAGTTTTAAAACCTCCACAATCCGGGATGGCTGAAACTTTGCTGGGTTCAGAGCTCAACGAAGCGCTCAATAAATGCCTAAGGACACTGAGTTTGTTCCTCCGGGTGATGGATGGGCTCCTCCATCTACCACTGCCGCCGTTGGAGGAGTGCTCCAGTTTGGCTCTCACAGGCGACTATAACCTGGAACTGGATGTTCCAGGGCGATCAGCACCCACGACGCGCTCACCTTCTCCGGGCGCGTGTCCCTTTAAGGGCGGCGGGGCTGCGCGCGGGCCTCGCTCTGGGCCGGAGCCTGCGCGTCCGTGTCCGCGGCGGAGGCTGCGGCTGCCGTGGGCCCCGGGCGAGGAGCGGGGCGATGCACAGGCTGCGCGGCTGCTGCGCGCGTCCCCGCGGTGCCCCGCTACGGGCCGAGCGGAGCCGGGCGAGCAGCCGCGCCCTGCGGGTGCTGGTGGACATGGACGGCGTGCTGGCGGACTTTGAGGGCGGCTTCCTCCGGAAGTTCCGCGCGCGCTTCCCCGACCTGCCCTTCGTGGCGCTGGAGGACCGGCGCGGCTTCTGGGTGTCGGAGCAGTACGGACGTCTGCAGCCTGGGCTGAGCGTGAGCACCCGCCGGCCCCGCAGCCGTGCCCCGCGGGAGGGGAAACTGAGGCCGCAGCTGTCCAGCCCCAAGCCAGCCCGACTCTTCCATGACCTTTGGCGGGTTCTTTTGTACCACAGGGATCCTGGGAGGACTAGGGCCACAGAGCTAGAGGGACCCACCGTTGAGCTGCCGCTGGCCTTCCAGCAGTCTCCTTAACCCCCTCCCCAGCTGTCAATCTTGACTCTCCCTCCCTCCCTCCCTCCCTCCCTCCCTCCTGCCACTATCCCTCAGTACACACTTGCCCTCAGTATTGGAGATTGAACCCAGAGTCTCTTGTAGACTAGACAAGCTCCCTACCACTGACCTACTTCTCCAATCCTCTTATGTCCTTCACTCTCACTAGCTTTCCTGGACTGCCCTTGAACTAACTCACTGTGTAGCCTAGGGAGCCCTTAAAATTTTGATTCTCCTGTTTTAGTCTCCCAAGAAGCCGAGACTGCAAGCCTGTAACACCATGCAGGGCTTGAATTTTAAATTCTTGGTGTATTTGGCCTCAGACAATTTGTTACATGAAAAAAATAGACCAAACATTCAAACATTCTCCTTACACAGACATTGCTATTCCTCGCAGTGAAATTGACAGAGGTGTCTTTGCCCTCCTCTTTTGCCCCAATCCATGGAAGCATAAGTGTATGCTAGAGAATGACTCTGAGAATGCCACATGGGGAGTTGGGCTGGGTGGAGTGAAACTTCCCTCTTGACTAGTATAAGACTTTTGGTGAGCTCTTGGGCACCCTCCCTATCCCCCTCTCCCCCACCCCATGGCTAGACAGATAATCCCAGGCTTTTTGGTAGAGTGTAATTTGGAAACTTAACTATTTTATGAAAGGAATAGGGGGATTTGCCCAGCATAAACTTAGAAACTCTGGTGTTTCTCAGTTGATTGTCTAAGGGACATAGCTAGAGGGCTTAATGATCAAGAGGGTTGGGTTTTTGTTTTGTTTTTTAATTTATCAGGTTTGTAACATCTTGTTCTTCACAGCCTTCCAGGACTGATGGCAGTGAGGTAATGAAGAAAAAGGCACATAAACAAAACTGGGTTCAGTGGATGGGGCTTTTTCCTGGAGAAACCATAGCACTCCTGGAAGCTCAGGGTGTTTATAGCCTTGAACAGAAGGGCAGGTCTATACTGATGAACAGGGATGGGGCCGGGGATAGGTATATCTAAACAGGGTAGAGGCAGTCTGCAGGATAGCAGTCTGCAGGTGGTAAACATTCAAGGGAGAAAGCTAGGGTGGTCATTTTCTGCACACACTGTCAAAATCTATACGTGGACCAGAGGGAGGCCTTTTCATGCTTCTGCGCCTCATGCTACGGGTGGGGTGGGGCTTCCTCACAAGACTGAGGCTCTGGGGTCCTGGCACAGCTCCGCCTATGCCAGCGACACACATTCCCTCAGGACTTGACTCAGCACTTTCTCCAATCCCTTGTCTTGCTGTGGGAAGATGCTACTGTCTCCACCTTGCACAGGAGGAACTCTGCCATCACATCATGGGGTAGTAAGGAGCAGATGGGATTCAAGCCCCAGCAACATGTCTGCCTGCTCCACACAGTTCTCTTGCACTACCTTAGCGTCCTATTCTCTGTTTTGCTTTCTGTTTTGATTTCAACACGGTATGCAGGGCTGGTAATACACCTCGATGGTAGAGAACTGTCTAGCTAGTGCAAGACCCTAGGGTTCTATCTGAGCATTGCAACCCACCCCCACCCCACCCCCAGCTCCCAGGCTCCTACATGATAAATAAGGCACCTCAACAGTAATTTGGTTTACTGAGGAACAGGTATTTAAAGGGGACATGGGGTGTCGTTTCTGTTCATTCACAGATGGTACTGCTGCAAGCAAGTTCCACAGAGCCCAGATCTCTCCCGTGTATAGCCGATCTCTCCCGTGCTGAGAACTATGAAAACTTTAAACCTAAGGAAATGTTCTGTGTCACCTCTGATCACCTCAGCAATCAACTGCTGCACTGCATAGGGTTCACTTACAAAATGACTGACCAACATTTGAGTTTGGAGGACATAATTTCCTTGTAGGAATATATTAAATTTAGATTCATGTGTGTTTTTTGCCTTTATATATGCATGTACATTATGTGCAGTCCTGGTGTACGAAGGTCAGAAAAAGGTATCCAAACCTTAGAACTGGAGTTACCATGTAGGCGCTGGAATTGGACTCAGGTCCTCTGCAAGACCAACAAGTACTCTTAACCTCTGAGCCATCTCTCCAGACCCAGGAATAGATTAATGATATAAAATGAAATCTACCCAGACACTGCAAGCAGACTTGCTTCAAACCACACCATAGAGAGGAGGAGGAAGAAGAGGAGGGAGATGAGGAGGAAGAAAAGATAGAGATGGAGGAAGAGGAAGAGAAGGAAGAGGAAAAGGAGAATACAATGAAGATTTAGGGGTTTAGCTTACCAGTAGTGTTTGCCTAGGATGCGTGAGGCCCTGGGTTTTCTCTTCCGCACTGTAAAACAAAGAAAAGGAGCAGTGACTCAGTTGCTCCTTGCATAGGTAGCTACTCCAGGCCCCAAAGGACTAATTCCTGACTTCCAACTGCAAGGTGAGAAAGTGTGGGGCAGGAAGGGGCTGCTGGGATGGGAGGAACTTACTGGTTTCCTCTCATTCCTTTTCTAAGCCTCTGCTCACTGAAGAACACCCAGAGCCTCCCCATGGCCTGGTTGTCTAAATATCTGTGGTTCAACCAAACAGTCTAAGTATAATAAATGCAGCCACTTTCAAATTTGTATTCTTGCTGCTTGGTATTGGGGGTTCCCCTAGGATACCAAAATCTACAGATGCTCCAAAGTCTGTCATGTAAAACAGCATGGTGTTTGTGTATGACCTGTGTGATTCTATACAGCTCAGCCTTCTCTAGTGGCTTATAAGATGGAAGGCAGTGTAAATACTGCGGAGATGGTTTTGGATATTGAAGGTAAGAAAAAAAATGACAGAAAAGGGCCTCTGTCTGAATGTTCAGTGCAGATAGTAATTTTCTGTGGTTGTTTGAATCCATGGATGTTGACTCCATGGCTCCTGAGGGCCAGTTGCCTTCGTTCCCCGTGGTTTCCACAGTACTCTTGGAGGGAAATAGGCAAAGGTAGAAAGAAAAGCTCATCTCAGCTGACAGAATCCTCAGCTGTTAGGCCAAGGAACTGAGCCCAGAGAGGGGATTTCCTCTACCAGTGCTTCGCAGTGACAGGAGGACGGGGAGCAGGGAAGTCGACTCTGTAAGCTTGGTGTTGGAACTCTGAATCTGTTCTGTCTCACCAGGACTTTGGGAGGGATGGGTCTTGTCTTTGTGCTGTTGGAGAGAAGCTCTATGAGGCCAGCCCAGAGTTGACCCACAGCAAGGGTCATACTGCCTCCAAATGTGAGTTCAAGTCCTGATGGTGTTACCCCTAAGTGGCCTTGAGGAAAACCATGCTCAAATTGTGGACCAGCAATCCTTAGTCCTTGTAGGTTGTAAGGATGGAACTTGAGAGTGTCTCAGTAACACTGTGTAGTTGTTAGTAACAGTTTTGCTTATGTAGTTGACAGAGGTATTGGTGCTCTCTTAACCAGGGAGTGGTATTTCCTGTACTGCATACATGTACAGCACTGAGAAGCTCCCTTCTCAGAGGCTGAGATGTCTGTCTTCCCCTTTCCTGGCCCTGGGAGAGATCTGGCACTGGGAGTGTGAGTTCTGGCCTACTCACACATGATAGAAAGGGGCGCCTTACTCAGCCACTGCTTTTCTGTGTGACATCAGTTTTCCTATACCTAAAAAGAGGGTTCGCATTTCTTTTGAGACAGGGTTGTATTTTGAGACAGGGTTTTTATTTTATTGTTCAGACTGGCCTCTCGAGCAATAGAATTAGCATGGGCCACCATGCCTGGCACAGAGTCTGGATTTTTGGCTTTCAAACTTTACAAGCAACAAAGTCCCCCCTTTTTTTGGGGGGGATGCAGAAACAGGTGGATTTCTGTGAGTTTGAGGCCAGCCTGGTCTCCACAGAGAGCTCTAGGATAGCGAGAGCTAAACGAAGAGATCCTGTCTTAGTAAAGTAAACTAATGTGTTGGTACTTAAGCACACAGACCAGGCAAGCTCAGAGCTGTTCCGATGTGTGACGAGGACTCTCCTAGCTGGCCTTTGCCCAGCTCCCCATGTTCCTATTTTTGTAGTCCTTATAGACCATTGTTCTTGGTCCCTTCAGGCTCCAACGCTAGTGACAACTTTTGTGGTCATGAATGCTTTCCCTCAGCTCCCCCTGAGTTCTGGCTGTTCTAGTCAATCCTAGCAAGTGTGCACTTTTGTAAAAACTATCCTCAACCCGAGAACATCAGGTGGCTCTCCCAGAGCTGACACCTTAGCTTCTCTCTGCTAGGCTCTAACAGAAGTCACCTCCTTCCCTATAGAGAGCCCAACACATGATAACTCCTTAGATTCCTCTCCAGGAAACAGGTCTGGGGTGAGTGTAGGGCACCTTCAACCCTCTTTCTTCCTAACTGCAGCCCTGCCCAGCTGTGTATGTTTCCAAGAGGAGGGTGGTGAGACAGTGGGAACCTGGAGGTGACCTGCTTTTTTGGCTTCTCAGGAGAAGGCCATCAGCATCTGGGAGTCAAAGGATTTCTTCTTTGAACTCGAGCCTCTTCCTGGAGCTGTGGAAGCTGTGAAGCAGATGGCCAGCCTGCAGGAGTAAGTATGTCTTCCTGCCTCACCTAAGTCCAGGCCTGCACATGTGTCTTACTGTCTTAGTGTGAGCAAAGGTCAGGAGTGTCATTCCTGGTAAACTGAGAGCTTGTGTGGGCTGAAGCCCTCACTCCATCCCCACCCTCCATCTGCAGTCCTCTGAAGCCTGTTGGAACTTGGGCAGTGTGCTTCCCTCAGCTCTTTTACAAGCACAGCCTACCAACTTATACCCCATACCTTGAAGCTCACCCATTTCAAGTATAGAGTTCAGGGGCTGTCAGAACACTCGCAAACCGACTGAACCACTGCTACTGTCAGTTCCAGAATTTTCTCATCATTCCCTAAAAAAAAAAAAAAAGGTCAAACCTGTTAGCACACTGCTTGTTCCTGGCCTTCTGTGGTTCCTAAGAACCATCAATCTACTCTCTGCCTCCGGGGCTGTGCCTCCTATAGGCAGTACATGTAAGTGCTACCATCTAGCATGTGGTCTGGCTTCTTAAACTTAATGCTTTTAAGGTTTATTGTGTAGTATCTGTCAGTACTCACTCTTCTACTCTATAAATGTATGTGACGGGGGATGGATTTTGTGTGACTTACGTATGATAGACAAGTGCTGTAACCATTGAGCTATACCCCCAGCCACACACTTGTGCTTTTGACAATGGGACAGTCAATTGTAAAGATAGACTGCATTTTATGTGTGTCCATTCATTACTTGATGGACATTTGGACTGTTTCTATCTTTTGATTTTCTAAGTAGGACTGCTATGAACATTTGTGCTAACATTTGTTTGAACAGCTGCTATTAATTCTTTGGGGGCATATACCTCAGAGTAAAACTGTGAGGTTGTAAGTAATTCTATATTTAATGTTTTAAAGAACCATCAAGCTATTTCCCATTAACTTCAGAAAGACTGCAGTTTCTTGACATGTTTGTCAATACTTGTTATTGTCTTTTATTTTGACGAGGTAAATGCTTCAGTCCCTATAGCCCCTTTTCCTTCCTTCCTTCCTTCCTTCCTTCCTTCCTTCCTTCCTTCCTTCCTTCTCTCTGTCTCTCTTTCTTCCTTCCTTCCTTTCTTTCTTTCTTTCTTTCTTCCTTTCTTCCTTTCTTCCTTTCTTCCTTTCTTTGTCTTTTTCTTCTTCTTTTTTTTCTTTTTTATAAGAGTCTCACTATGTAGTTCTGGCTGGCCTGGAATTTGCTATGTGACCAGGCTGGTCTTGAAATAAAGGAAACCCATTTGTTTCTACCTCCTGACTACTGGGGTTAAAGGCACACCACCATACACAACACACAGCTCTCCTCTGTGAGGTGTCAGCTGTGTTAGTATCTAATTAGTCTTGCACCTTTTGTTGAAAAGACTGTTATTTTTCCCATTGAATTGCTTGGCACTCAGTTTAAAGTCAGTTGACCCCAAATGTAAGGGTTTACCTTGAGGTTTGTCCATGAGTCTATTTAAATTTAGCAAACTGTGTAACAAATGTTATATGTTCTTCATTGTGCTATAATATAAATGCCTCTAAAACTATCCACTTTAATATTCTAATATAAGACTGGCAGGGTGGCTCAGCAGGTAAGGACACTTGCTGCCAAGCTTGAGGTTAACCCCAGAGTTCGCATAGTAGAAGAAAAGAACTGATTCTTGTAAACTGTCCTCTTAATTTCTGCAAGCATGCCCACGCACGCATGCGTGCGCGCACACACACACACTGTAAATTCAAATCTGACTAAACAGGTACAAGGAAAACAAAATGCTCGTAGTTGGAGTTGAATTGTAGACCTTGTTTGGTTAGTACTTTATCTTCGGGCTTGAGCGCAGGCCATGTATTGCCTGTGTTTTATGGTATGGATTTGATTTATAAAGATCTATGGCAAGAGTCTGGGAAGCAGGCATGCTGACCTGCCATACTGTGATTTCCTCACCCTTTCATTTAACCTATTTTATTATTTCTTTTCTTTTTTTAAGATTTATTTATTTTATTTATGTGAGGACACTGTTGCTGTCCTCAGACACACCAGAAGAGGAACTCGGATCCCATTACAGATGGTTGTGAGCCTCCATGTGGTTTCTGGGAATTGAACTCAGGACCTCTGGTAGAGCAGCCAGTGCTCTTAACCACTGAGCCATCTCTCCAGCCCTTATTATTTATTTTCTGAGACTGTAATATATTTACATCATTTCTCCTTCCCTTTCCTCTTTCCCAACACTTCCACATACTCCTCCTTGCCCTCTTTCAAATTCATGGCCTCTTTTTAAAATTAGTTTTTACACAACATACATATGCATGAATGCACATGTGTATGCACACATACTAAATACAAAAGTACAAACCGCTCAGTCTATATAATGTTACTTGTATTTTCAGGGCTATTTGGTATTGGATAACCAGTTGTTGTTCTTGGGAAAGACCGTTTTTACCCACTCTTACATTCCTTAGTGCCTGTGGTTCTCTGTGTAGGACAGAGGCCTCCCAGTCTTTCCCTCATCCGTGTCAGCAAGTCTATTGTTATTTTTTTGTTTTGTTGTTGTTGCTCAGCTCACATTTAGGTAGTCCTGTTGGTGAGACTCTATAGCTGTGGCTCTGGCATTACTAGGAGACACTCTTAACAGTGAACTCCTTATTCCTCTGGCTCTTTAAACCTTTCCAGGATCCTCTTCCAAAATGGTCCCGAGGTGCAGGAACACTGTTGTGTCTCCATTGGGACAAGATTACATAACTTTTGATGAGTTGTGAGTTTCTGAGATGGTGTCTGTCGGTTGTAATGAGGAGCTCCTTGCTGAGGGATGATGCCTACACTTACCTGTGAGTATAAGGACAAATAATTAGCACGTAGTGAGAGACTTTGCTGGCTTGTGGACTTAGAAAAGTAGCAGTTGTAGGTTCTTTCCCAAGATTCATGACTTCAGGTGCCCTGAGTAGTTGGCATGACTTCTTCCTGTTGAATGGGTCTTATGTCCAAGTAGAGAGCAGTTGGTTTCCCGTGTGCCACTACTGTACCATTAGGGTTACTACGGTGCCATGCTCATCACTGCTGTGGGTCAGAGGGCTCATATCTGGGTAGGACTGTTGGCTGCCTCCCTCCTTTGGAAGCTTGCATGGTCTACCATGAAAGTTACTCGCCAGGGAGGAGGCTTCCAGCTCAGCTCCAGCTCAGAGGTTCTAGGCCTTCTTTCTGAGGTGCATGCTGTCTTCAGCATTAGCACTTACCTTCCATCTCTGGGGTATGGGGTCAACTAAAGACAGGAGCAGGAGCTATTCGGAGTCTCTTTGGGCAGCCCTGACCAACAACTCAAAGGAGGGCTTCTTCTACCCAGTATTAGGATCTTTGATTGTCATTGGCTCTTGGAGGGAGTGTTTTAAGTTCAGATGGAAACATTTCACTAGGTCTATATATGTAGGTTTATAAACCAACTTAGAGCTTTTCAGATATTTTTATTATTATTTTACTCCTACCCTCCTTTGAACCTATTTTGAATAAAAAAAATTCTGAAAGAAAAGTTATATTGGGAGGGAAAGGAAGAAAGAAAGAAAAAAGAAAGAAAAAAAGGAAGGAAGGAAGGAAGGAAGAAAGGAAGAAAGAAAGAAAGAAAGAAAGAAAGAAAGAAAGAAAGAAAGGGAAGAAGAAAGCTTAAGGAGAGAGTGGTGAGATTGCTCAGTAGATGGAAGCACTGGCCACTAAGCCTCCCTGAGTATGAGTCCTGGGACCCATGGAGTGGAGGGAGAGAACTGACTCGTGTGAGTTGTCCTCTGACCTCTACATGTACACAGTGGCACCCCCATACGAAATACATAAATACATAAATACATAAAGGTAAGGTTTTTATTTTAAAAAAAGTTAGGTGGACTAATCAGAATACATTATATACATGTATGAACTTGTCAAAGAACAAATTTAATCAGTAAAAAGTTATATTTTTAATAAAAGTGTACTTTCAGTATATCCAGTATACTAATAGGCCTATTGTATTAGTTAACTCTGTGCTACTACTGTATAAAACACCTGAGAAAATCAGTTTAGAAAGAAAAGGCGTTGAGAGCCTGAGAACTGACTCAGCAGTTCCTGGGCGCTTGTCTTGTGGAGGGTCTGTGTTTGATTCCCAGCTCTCGCAGGCTGCTCACAGCTGTCTGTGACTTCAGCTCCATGGGATTCGATGCCTTCTTCTGACCTCCTTGGGCAGCACATATGCACACTGTGCACATAGGCACATGCAGGCAAAACACTCCTAAAATATTAAAATTTATTAATTTTTTTTTTTTAGAAGAAAGTGGTTTGTTTGGGCTCATGCCCATGGAAATTGTAGTTAATAGTCACATATCATGCTTCTTTGAGTGTGGTGGCACAGAACATAGCAGCTGGGACCATGTGGTGGAAGAGGCCTGTTCACTTCATGGTGACTAGGAGTCAAAGAAAGAGACAGGAAGAGGAAAAGCTTCAGGATGGTTGAGAGCTGGCCGGGACGTGAGCCTGAGCAGTCCAGTTGCAGACCCTGTTCAAAAGCCCTGCACCAGGATATAGCAATGTGGCTGAGATGCTCGGTACACATAGACTGAGGAGATAAGGAGGATTCTGAAAAGCATAGGTGCTGGCATAGTCTCAATGTCTTTCCTGAGGATACACTACTTTCCTCCCATTATTCCCAGGGCTGGGGACCTTTGGGGAATACTCCAGATCCAGACTGTAGGACACATGGTACAAGCTGTGTTTGCTATGAACATGTGTGAACTCTTCCATTTTTTGCAATCAAGTAGTGCAGTAGAAGTGACTACACCACAGTGGCACGGCTTTAGGCCGTCAGTCCACTGGCGTTGGTGTGTCGGGTCACATCAGGGACCAGAGCATCCCTAAGGTTGGTGCCCACAGGGCCTTGCAGCCCACTCCCGTGGATGCTAAAGGAAAGCTATGCCAGCACCTATGCTTTTCAGAATCCTCCTTATCACCTCAGTCTGTGTGTAGCGAGCATCTCAGCCACATTGCTATATCCTGGTGCAGGGCTTTTGAACAGGGTCTGCAACTGGACTGTTCAGGCTCACGTCCCGGCCAGCTCTCAACCTTCCTGAAGCTCTGTTTCTTAAACTGTTTAAACTGCAGCTAATAAGAAATTAGCCACAGGATCATACTGTGACTCCTGCACAGAATAAGGTGCTCAGTGAAAAAAGCAGCAGCAGCAGCAGCAGCTGTTACCCATGGGAGTTAGTAGATGTGTACACAGGTTTCAAGAGTAACTGCTGCATTCATACTGCAGTATGGCTGAGCCTCAAAGCCATGATGCCAAGGGGAGAAATCCAGACACAGAAGCCACACACTGTATGATCCCAGTTACACAAAATCTCCACAATCATCGAGACAAGGAGCATGCAGATCAGCTGTCTCCAGGGGCCGGCAATGGTGGCAATAGCTACTGACAGCTTAGTAGGGTTTCTTTTGTGGGTGATGAAAATATTCTAAAAATCAAGTTTCAGTTGTGTTTGATAAAACACTACAGATATATTAAAATTTATTTAATTGTGTACTTTAAATGGGTCAACGTTAGATGGATTATCTCAGCACAACTTAAAATTGGGACAGGAGTAGTGGTACACACCTTCAATCCCAGCCCTCACAAGGCAGAGGTAGGTGAATTTCTGTGAGTTTAAGGCCAATCTGGTTTACATAGCAAGCTCCTGGCCAAGCAGGGGTGCATAGTGAGACCCTGTCTCAAAAACAAAACAAAGCAAACAGCATCAAACCCAAAACAAAACCTAAATCCAAAACAAAACAAAGCCTTAAAATTGGTTTGCTTGATTTTTAAGAAGATACAAGCAGCTGGTGTGTTTATTTAACAGTGTGGGTGAATAGTTCATGGAGTGCAAGAAGCCAGACAGAAAACACACTCCAGATGCTCTAGGACATACAAAGCAATCTGTAGCTGGAGAAAGCAGCTTGGTGGTTGCTGGGGCTCTGGGGTCAGGAGGTCAGGAGGTCAGACAGGGGCAGGTGGGGGAGAGTGTGTTCTACTCTTGACCGTGGAGATCTGCTTTTGTGGCGTGTGTGTACCACAGCTTATCAAATTTTTCCCTTTTAATAAGTGCTGTTTTCAAAGACTTCTACATTTCATGCTTATGTGTGCTTACCTGCATGTATGTATGTGCACCACATGCATGCTTGCATGGCAACTGTATCCCAAAAAAGCTGTTTGGAGAATGATCAGTTTGAGCCAGATAGCAGACCCGTCTACTCAGAAGGCCAAGGCAGTGGGATTAGATGAATAGATTCACAGCCAGCCAGGGCAACATAACAAGACTCTGTCCTGTGCTTCCTTAGCATAAAGATCCAGTTTAACTGAATGGAGGACAGCATGGAGAGGTCAGGATTGACCAGGCTGTCTGTTTTGAGGTTGAAGAGTTGAGCGCAGGCAAAGTTTGGGACTGAGATCCTGCCAAAGTCGTTCTGAGATGTAGGGTAGGCAACGTGTGGTGGCAGCCAGGCAGGGAGGGTGCAGGTTGTATGGCCTGAGCCTGGACAGTCAGGCTTTGGAAGGAGCAGCAGAGAAGAGGGAAGACAGCTTGCTTGCTGGCCCTCCCTCTAAGGTTTGGGTGGTGTGAGGAAAAGCCAGTCTAAGGCTAGACCTTCATATAAGACAGCTTCCACAGAGACTGGGGCAGATACTGCCAACCATGTTGTCTCTGCAGCTGTTCTTTTCCTGAACACTGAGCAGATACAGGCAAAACTACCCAGAGACCATCAGACAGGCTTCCACAGATCATCCCAGGACTAATTTGCTAAAATGTTCAAGAAACATCACTCTCATAGCTTGGCTTGATGGGCCATCCCATAAAGAGTAGAACACAATGCTATTACTGTTTAACATGGGGTGGTAGTGGTAGTTGGGAATCCATCCTGTGGGTGTGGGGAGGAGCAGGCACCTGGGAAGCCCTTCTGGATCAGGACAACGGTGCATTTATCATGCAAAGCCCATGCTCCTCTGGAGGCTGCATGCCGGAGGGCTTGTATCAGCAGAGCCTGCCTCCCTCCCTGTGGCCTGGGGATGGAGGAGAGATTCCTTTCCTTATTCATTTCAGTCAGCTGGGGATGACGTTCTCTTTCAGCTGTCTGTAGGCTCCGCAGTATTTTTTTTTTCCTTTATTCTTTTCCTTCCCCGTTTTTGGTGCTGGAGATGGAACCCAGGGCCTTATCTATTGGATACACCTTCTCTACCATTGAGCCTCCAGTCCTCTGCATCTGTTCAGTGCTGTGCTTGTTGGCAAATGCCATTTCTCTCCCCATTTTCTTACTCAACTAGAGTGTATGTGATTAGCCCAGCTAACCTTCTGGATCTAGTCCTGCAAATAGTGTTCCACCTCAGAGTTGGTTGCCTGTGGCCAGGTCAGGTCATTTGCAGCTACCCAAGACTTTTGGTGGTGGTGGGGATTGCAAGTTGTAGCCTCTTGTGTGGGAAGACACAGAACAGTGGGTTTTCCCATGACAGAGCAGGCTCAGTCCCTGGCAGGGCTCGGCTAACAGAGGCGGGTGGTATGCAGCAGCATGGAGCTAGCTACAGGGCTCACTGTTCTTTCTCTTTTGGCAGCACCGATGTCTTCATCTGTACGAGCCCCATCAAGATGTTTAAGTACTGTCCCTATGAGAAGGTAAGGAGTCCATCCCAGGCAAGGGCTGCTGTGTGGCACAGGGCCTCATCTGGTGCTCCCTGTCTCTCTGTACCAGCCTGAGGCTCTATCTCATGGATGGATGGACCTGCTCCAACATGGGCTTGGTGGGAAGGGTACTTGCCACATATGACAGATGTGCCCGGCCCAGCAAAGGCTGGTAAAGAAGGTGACAGGGATCAGAGGGAGGACCATGCCTGGGAGGGGCTAGAAGCTCACAGAAGTCCTGCATGAACACCCCCAGCCCCTGCTCATTCTCACACTCACCTCTGTGGTACCGGGAATGGAACTCAGCATCCTATACGCCAGGTGAGTGCTCTGGCACTTAGCTGCGTCCTCAGGCTTACGTGGAAAGTCCAACCAAGAGCTGCACATAGTCGTGAATATCTGTAACCCCAACACTCAGGAGGCAGAGATGGGGATGGCAAATTCCAGGCAACCCTGTGCTACATAGTGAATTCAGAGCTACCATGAGATCTGTCATTGCCCCCCCCCAAAAAAACCCAAAACAAAACAGAAAGAAAGTCTAAGCAAGAAAATGTAAGTTTGTTTTTCTGTGTGCTATTTTGTCTTTACTGAAAGAAGTAGAAGTACAGTGGGGAGCTTTGTACTGTAGAAGCTGCCGGTTGCTTTCTGTTTAGGGAGAATAGGGTCACCACACCTTGTAGGTTTCTCAGACACTCCTGTGGACTCAGGAGACTGGGTTCCCAGTCAGGTTTTCCCAACTCAGGCTTCAAATCATCACGTGGAGGGCTTCTGAGAATCTCCACCTTCCTCTCTTCCACCCAGTGCTGTGCTCAGCCCAGAGTTGTTATGTACCTTGCTTAGGGAAGCTCTTACACCGTGGCAGATGCTGTGGGTTATGTGAGCAGTTGTCATGCCAGCTGGGGTCATCCCGACCCCTCTGACCTCCCAAGGCTGAGTTCATTTCAGCACAAGGGAGTGGGTGTTGGATCCACAGCTCTTGGGGGTCAAATGAGGAGTGAAGGATGGGTCCCCACTTTGTATCAGAGCACTTATCTCCCAAGGATGTTCTAGACTGGTGGGGTCGACCTCCCCTGGGGACTGGTTAGAAATAGACACTTTCAGTAATGCTGACCTTTTGAGTCAGAAACTCTGAGTGCCAGTGCAGTCTCAGCCAGCTTGCCAGATGACTCTGCTGGACCCCTGCACTCGAGCCGTGAAGGTCAGGTGACAGCTTCAAGTTTAGCTGGCTCAAACAGTTGGACACCTGGCCAGAACAGGTGGCCTGGGTGACTTCAAAATCTGCAGGCACTCGAGCTCCTTATAGAAACTAACATGGTGTGCACACATCTTCCCCGAGCCTGAGTACTTCTGCCAGCTCAGTGACCAATGCCGCCAGTACAAACACCTTCGCTGCAGCTGCTCGACTGTTTAGTGTCGGGAATGATGATAGGAAGGTCCACTCGGTCAGTTCAGCTGTCATTCATGGTTTCTGTTGATTGTGGTGAGCCTGGCTGTTTACCGGCTCTACCGGTGTGGTCCATCCTGCTGCCCCCTGCCCCCATGACAGTGAAATGAGCCATGCTTCCTGTGGATTCTCTTTCTGAAACAGACCTGGCATCTGTCTATTTCTCTTCTTATTACGGCCACTTTAAACCTCGGTATATCGTTAATGTTACCTCTGAAACTTGATAAGATAGATCACATCAGCCCCGTGGTAATTAGCTCCTTATGAAAAACAAGCCTAGCCTAGCCTCAGAGCACGCCTGACTCTGCATCTGAGCCGCTCCCTCCCTCCCTCGCTCCCTCCGTGACTTGTATTGTAGCTCAGATGTGAAATGTCCTCAGTGGACTCATGTGAACCCTTAGCCCCTAGTCTGTGTTGCTGGGGTGCGAGGTTGGGGAACCTTTGAAAGATGGGGCCTGGCTGGTGATAGTGAATTACTGAGGGGCGGGTTTATGGTCTAGAAACCCTCATTCCAACCTAAGATTCTCTGTTTCCTCCCCCCCCAGATATGAGCAAGCTTCCCCCATGCCTTCCTTCCCATAATAGAGGTGTCCCCTCAGCTAGGACCAGACCTTTCTTCCTTAAGTTTGTTCTTTCAGCACTGACAACAAAGTAACCAGTGGGGTTGGTAGCCACCCTGTCCTCTGTGTGACTGTGCTCAGAGGTCCAGCACATTAGCTGATCACCACATCTGACGTCTGTCCAGCCTCTGCCATGTTGTGCTCTGTCTCAGCACTGGGTTCTTGTATAACGCCACTGCTCAGAAAGGCTCCGTTTCTTTGTTTCTGGATTATTTTCTGTCTCTTACCAGACTGAGGTCTGCAAAGATGCACTGCCATCTTCCCCAGTGAAGAGTTAGGCATGCAGGGAACCCTTGAGTAGATCCATTGTTCAACAGAGAGCTATCAAAAACATCTTAGAGTTATTTTGAGGAGGGAATTTTGTATATGAGTACTGTACAAACTCCTCCCTGCCCTCCCTCCCTCTCAAATTCACGAGTTCTTCTTTAATTATTTGTTCTCTGTGTGGGTCTCTCTCCCTATCTGTCTCTGTCTCTCCCTCACTCCCTCTCCTGAATCTGTTTAGTGGTTCTTGTATATACACGTGCTTAGAGCTGGCTGCTTGGGATAGGATAACCTATGAGGGAGCTCATCCCTAGAGAACAGAGATTCTCCCTCTCTCAGCAGCCGTGGATTCTCAGTAGCTCTTCATCTAGGCCTGGGGCCTTGTAAAAATCCCCCCACTCACACTAATGTGCCACCTGGTATTCTCACCACGTAGGTCTTGATTAGGTAATCAGACTGTCAAAGTTTCATGGGTAAAGCTTCTTTGTTGTATCTTGAAGACATTGTTTCATAGCAGGCATCCTGGTCTTTGGGTTCTTACAATCTTTCTGGCTCCTCTTCTGTTGTTTTTCCTGAGCCTTAGATGTAGGGGTTGTGTCATAGATGTAGCAATTGAGGTTGTACACCCCATTGTACGTTTCCATTTTGACCAGTTGTGGCTCTCTCTAATAGTCACTATCTGCTGCAAGAAGAAGCTCCTTTGATGAGGGGTGAGAGCCACACGTATGGGTATATAGATACAAGTTTAGAATGCAGCGAGAAATTATATGGTTTAGGAAGATGGCAGTAATAGTCTGTGGCCTCTAGCCACAGGTAGTAGGCTAGATCTGTGGCACCTGTCATGGATTCCCTCCTGCTGAGTAAGCGTTACATCCTGTTAGACAGTTGTTGGTTATCCCCACGGTAAAAGTGCTACCGCTGCACTAGAGATGTCTTACCAGGCTTTATTGGGTTCATACTTTATACCTGGGAAGGGCTACACATCAGTTTCTCCCTTGGCAGCTTGTGCAGCACCCTTGCAGTACTAGGAGAGGTAGTTCTCATTAAAGAGGCTTCCAGGTCAGTTCCAACTGGGTTCTTCCAGGTATGTGGTGTCATCAGCGGTCCCACTGTGCACCCAGCATCAGCAGTCACACTGTGCACCCAATCCCACTTAAACTCTTAACTCATAGTCTTCCTCTTCTTTACTTTGATAGCGCATGCTGGACATGTTTTAAGCAAGCAGCCCTCTGTTTGTTCAGAGATGAAGCAATCAATCTTTGCCTGGTTTTTCACTGGGTTTCTGTAAATCAAGTTGTGAGAGTACTTTCTGTATTCTAGAGACAGGCTCTTCCTCAGGTGATGTGTTTGTTCTGCAGATATTTTTTCCTAGTCTGTGGCTGTTCATCTTCTTAGGTTTTAAAAATCATTGCTTTTAATAAACATTTACTTATTTTCTTTTGTTAGTGTGTGTCCATAGAGCCCTGTGCTACAGTGTGTGTTTGTTGATCAGACGACGGGTATGGGAGTCAGTGCTCTTGCACCACGTGGGTCCTGAGGGTCAAACCCAGGCTGTAAGCCTTGACTGCACACGCCTTTACCCACTAAGCCGGTTCACCTTAGTAGGTAAAGTGAGGCAGGATTTCACTGTGCAGTCCACTGGCCTGGAACTTGGCAATTCTCACACGGTGGCCTTCCATGTGCTAGGACTTCAGGTGTACACTATCATACCTTGTTTAACAAAGTCTTTACAGTTTTTTTTAATGTAACATATAGTCACATATATTTGGTTACATTCTCTCCCCCCCCCCAATCCCCTCCAGTCCATCCATTTCATATACTTGGCTGTTCCCTCCTTTCTGATCTATCAGATTCAGCATATCTGGTCTTACGTTGATGTTCATGATGTATTTGGATTGGAGTTTTGTGCAAGATGATAGATACAGATCTATTTCTAATCTATTCTATTCTACTTATTCTATTCCCGAGCATACAGCCTGTCCTGGGATGTGGTTAATCTATGATTAAAGAAAATAGATTTTTGTTTTTTTACTTTTACCAGTAGCTCTCAATTGCAAAAAGTTTCTTCATTAGAGGTGGGATTCTGTTTCCACTTCTCCATCTGGATGCTGGGATTTTGTCTAGCTGGAACTTGTACAGATCTTGTGGGTGGTCTTAGTTAAGGTTTCTACTGCCATGACCAAAAGCACAGGAGGAAAGAATTTATTTGGCTTACATATCCTGAATCATGATCTGTTTAAGGAAACCAAGGCAGAGACTCAAACCCAACAGGAACCTGTGAAGGAGTACTGCTTACTGGTTTGCCCTTCATGACTTGGTCAGCCTGCTTTCTTATAGAACTCAGGTCCCAGGGGTGTTACAACATACAAGGGAATGGGCTGGGCCTCCCTCCTTCAGTCACTAGTTAAGAAAATGCCCTACAAGCTTGCCTACAGCCTGATCTCATGGAGGCATTTTCTCAGTTGAGGTTCCTTCCTCTCAGATTAACATAAAAGTAGCCAGGACAAGGGTACTGTCACGTCTCCGTGAGTTCATCTGTGCGTTAGCTGTGTTGCATCTGGAAAACACTATTTGGAGCTTTCCACCACCTCTGGATCTTAAAATCTTTCATATTCCTCTGAAGTGTAGATACTTGAGCCTTGAAGGGAGAAGTTGGATAAAAACAT